GTCCCACAATGGTGCCAAGTCAGACCCACTAAGGACACCAGTCATACCTTGGTATTGTCCGAAAGGTTTCTCAGCTGAGCCGTTAACACCACCATCAAATTTCTTTGATGGTGGTGTTAACCTAGCTGCTGTTTACCGCCCACCCCAAAAAAGAAAATAAATAAATAAAAAGAAAAAAAAACGTTTTCAGGCATGGCCGTGAATGCAGGGAAGTTCCATGACACTCACCTTCTCGCTTACCTTATGATAGAATAGAAATAAACTTTATTGTCATTCCACTGTCACAAGTACAGAGCAACAAAAGGAATTCTCTGCATATAACCCATCCCCTTGGGGAGCAGTGGGCTTAAGGGTCTTGCTCAGGGACCCAGAGTGGCAGTCTGTGGGAGTGGGGCTCGAACTCAGAACCTCAGGATTCCAAGCTCTATGCCCTAACCACAAGGCCACCACTCCCCAGATGAAGTCTGGAGGAGAGCTGACGGTTTCCTTCAAAGAATCCCCTTTATACCAAAATGCTGTCAATACGCCATTAAACAGAAGCTGGAAGTCTGGAACGCGTCAGATACGTTGATATGCATTGGAGAGAAGTTCTTGACGCAAGAGTTATGCACAAGTTACTCATATGTTTTGGATAAGCTAGGCTACGACTTATGAGTAATTTACAATTAACAATGTCAGCAATCAGATAACTTACCTGTAACTTATGGCCAACATATAGCATACGGCGGCATACGCCGGGAAATTTTATGCATGTTCAAAATTTCTCGACGTATATATGTTGACGTGTGCCAGTGTGCTTCAGCGTGCTAATAACTTATACAAAACAAACCAAGAACTTATTCAACGTATGCCAGCGTTTTTGCCAGATTTTTCTTACGTCAGGCAAACATTAACCTGACTTCGCCAGATGGATTTGCTCCGCATATCCATCTGGAAACCTTCCGTTGAAGTAATTTTGGGAAGGGGCGAAAATACTGGTTAGCTGATTGGCCTATGTTGGTGATAGACGGGCCAAATAAACCAATCAGATCAACGAAGCATATGACGTACTAACAGCCTGTTACTCTTGCAGAAACCAGTCGGGAGAAGAGCAAAAACATCTTTTCCTCTGAGAAAAGCCTCCAGAGCAGTGTTTTGCTCTTCTTTCAGTGAAGAAATACTCTATGATTCCGATAAAACTTGCTCGATAGCCACGCTAACGCTAGTTTCATCGGCTGAAGCCGCCATGTTCTTTAGACTAAACTGTTGCGATTCTCGTTGCGTCACACCTCAACCCGCCTCAAAGCCAACGCTGATTGGACGTTCGTTTGGTGAACGGCTCCAAATTTTCTTTAACGGAAAGTAGCCAGACTGATCTGCGAGTGAAACCTTGAAAGCTCGCGAGATCAGGATGGTCTCACGAGGCTAGGCAAACATTGGCTAAAACGTCAAGGTGTGACAGGGCCTTAAAACAGGCCTTCTTAAGGGAGGATTTCCATTGTTAACTAACAGGCTTCTGCTGAACCGCAGTCATGGGGATCAGCTGTGCTGAAGCTGAGAAACCCTGAAAACCTGTCGGACGGCAGCCATCGAGGACCGACTTTGGACATGCCTGCACCAAGATCACAAATCGCATCTAAAAAGGGAATTTAAAAAAGCAGAGATTCTGTAAAATCAGGTCCTCGTCTGTTCAGCAAGCCATCTCTTTGTGTTCTGGAGATTAAATTTTTTAAACTTATGTTAGGGAGTTTTTTTTTTTTTCATCTCAGCCGACGCAGCAGAATTTTCCACCCCAGCAGAAACCTGTAGGCTAAATTGGGGAGGTGTTTGGCTTACATTAACACAGTATGTGTGAGCATACATTAAGAGGTGATGAAGACAGCTTGATTTTTTTTAACTTAAAGCTCCCTGGACTCATTTGCTCTTTGAGGCGGCAGCAGTATAGAACTATTTTCACATATGCTTCAATGTATTCACTGTTAGCGCAGGATCTCCTTGACTTGTCAAAACTACTCCTGTACATCAGTAGAAGATAAATAGAGTTTAATTTGCTTTTCAAAACTCTCCTGTAGAATGACATCTGACTGGGGGCGAAGCAGATGATGTATTTATGTTTGAATTAGGTTCTTTGTGTGCGGCGGATCGTCTCGCTGAGATGTAGAGGCTTTATTAGAATCGGGGGGTTGGGTCGGTGACGCTGTCATGAATTTATCCTCCTTTAAAGCTCTGAGAGACGGAAGAGAGGAGGGGGGGAGGAAAGGCAGTGGAGGAAGGTTTGCAGAGGTGGAGGTGGGGTGATGGAAGGATGCAGCAGCTTTCAGTGGAGAGCCAGCTGGACGGTGCCTCTGAATCTGTGCATGTGGGGGAGGAAAACCACGGCCGGTGGGGGTATATTTTATCTTTTATGGTTATGGAGGGATGCATAAATCACTGTTTCATTAAACAGCTTCAGCCTCAGAGAGCTACCCCCACCTCTTCCTTCTCCTCCCAGCAGGACCCCCCCCCCCCCCTTTTCTCTCTCTTCTCTTCTCCAGCCATCCTTCCTTTCTGTGTTTGATCAGCATCACACATGTCTCTCAGCCTCCTCCATCTACACCCCTTCCCATCCCCCTTTCACTTGTTCTTCCCAACTCACTCTCATGGTTCCTACACGGTTCCGGAAAGTTTGTAAAGTAATTTAATGCAAAATCTTTTCATGTATACAAAAATGAGCCATATAATTATTATAAATTCGCATTCCTGGTGTTTGTCCGTCCATCTGATGAAGATCCAGGAGCAACTTTTTCATTTTAGAAACAGAAGAAGAAAAATAAGGATGAAACTGAAAAAATTAGACAGGAAATCTATGGAAATTTAACATAAAAAAGAATATTTTATGTTCCTAAGATCCACCTTTGCCTCAATCCACCTTCAGCATAGCCTGGCTCCAGAGAGGTCAAAGGTCAGAGTAACAAGAAACCCCAAGGTCATCATGAAAAAAGATAGACAAGCAAAAAAAAAAAAGGATAATCGACTCTTTATTCAAATAAATATGAAACAGTAACCATCAGAAGAGACTCTCAGGGTTAAGGTACAGATGCCCCCAACGTTTCCTTCACAATAGAAAAAGCCTATAAAGAAGCTTATAACGACATCACAATCTGTTAGGGTGTTACTCTGTGTACAAGTACTATAGTTTTCTCACAAATACTAACATTAGTTTAAGTTCATAATCAGGGATTAAAAAAAAACAACAAAAAAAACAAATGAAACCTTCATTTTACTCTCTTTAGTTTGACATCCATATAAATACCACAACATTACGTATAGAAAAGCTACAGTTCAATGTGGCATTGGCATGATCGTTCACAGGCTTTACTCGCACGTTGGAGGAAGAAAACAAATGAGACGCTGGTTTACGGCGAAGCTCTGAATGATGAGCTGCATGTTGTTCCTGGAAGAATCACAGCAAACAGGAAGATCTGATGTATTTACACACTTGTTTCATTGTTCTTATACATTCACCAGGATTTTAGGTTTATTGCCCTCTTTCTCTCCTGCTGTTATGAAGCAAACACCTTTCCTGGCCCTCTGGTAAAGGTTAATTAAGCTTGAAGCTGCTCTAGCAAAATCTCACACTGAAACGATAAGAAAAAACTGCTTTAAATTGTAGTGGATTTATTCAGTGAAGGAAAAAACAAGTGGAGATAAAATAACTATGGAATAAGTCCGTTTTAGTCATAAGGATATTTTCCAAATACAATTTGGAAACAATACTTGATTTTTAGGTAGATTGGAGTTTTCAGGAACATCTGATCAGGAAACTATGTTGTTCTGTTTTTATCGGCGTATAATAGGAGCTTAGAGAGGTTTATTATGGTGCACAGTTTAGTACAACTTCAAATATCAGGAAAAAAAGGTCTCAGCTCTCAGATAAAGAGTTGTCAGGTCTGACATCTTTGTAAGGATTTGTAAGGATTCAGAAAAATGTTTAGGCTCTCAAGTCTGAGGAAAACCATTTATCAGTCGTAGGGAAAACTACGTCAAATCCCAGGAGAAAACTTCTAAGCTCTTAAGAAAAACTTTTAGGAGAAATACTTTCAGAGCTCAGAGAAAAGTTCATCTCTTCGAAGTAAAAAGTTTTCCATTCTCAGAAGGAAAAGTTCTCAGGTCTCAGGAAAGAAGTCAGATCTCAGTTCTTGGGGATAAACGTATCTGGTCTTAGGTTTCAGGAAAAGGAAGAAGCACTTTTGTTAAGTTAAGGGAATTCTTAAAGTCGTAGGGAAGCGCCCGTTCCAACCGTTGCATTTTTGAATTCTCCTGAGTGGTGACCGACTTTACATGAGTGAATAAAGTGAATATGATTGGTCGATTATCAAGGGGGCGGAATTGTTGTGGCGGAAGGTTCGCAAGCAAGTTTGGTTGTGGCCGGTTTCTTTGAGGCATCTTGCTAACCAGTTAGCAACTTAGTGCTAGCAGGTTCCCAATGGGAAATTCCATTGGGACCAAGTAGCACTAAATTGGTGACTTAGCAACGACACTGTCAAGGAACGCTATGGACAGAGGAAACATGCAAGAGGAGGAGAGTTTAGCGTCGGAGGTCGTGGATGAGTCTCTTCCGTCATCCATGTTTTATTTAGAGGAGGAAAGCGGGGACGAAGATGTTGTGGAAGAGGACGCCAGGGCGGCAGAAGCTTGGTTTGGTGTAGAAGGCTTCCAGCCGTACATGTTTGAGCCCTCGCCTCGCAACGCTGCCAGTTCTGTTAGCTCTACGCCTGCTGAAGACACAGACGTCCATCCCCGTGAACACTGGGACGCAACTCAATGGGAAAGGAAATTATTCTGATTTCTTATTTCAATGTTGCGTATATTAGCTGCGACATATGAGTCAAGACGCTATAACTGAAAAAATTTTATTGCCAGATGACCGTTGATATATGATTGGTCGAATTTAGGTGTACAAGCTGACGTATAACTAACTGGCCTGCATAAGATAATGAAAAAAAACATAAACTTTAAAACAATTTTTTTTTAAAGTCTGATAAAGAGCACATTTATATACATGTTTAAACCAGAATGATTTGACATTTAAATATGATTTCCTTACGACTTTAAATTCCCAAAACATCCCAAACCTTATTTTAAATCACAGAACATGTACATTTTTAATGCCAATTTCTGCCACTGCCGTCCACCTTTGCTGTTCAGGCCTGAAAAATTTGCTTTGTCCACAAAGGATTCGCTGGAAAAGAGGGAAACGTTTGTCTGCCATCATTTGAAGAAATCTTTCTATGAAACCAAAATAAAAACTTAGCTTTGCTAACTTAAATACCTGCTTGGTTTATTTATCACATACTTTAACAATAAACTTATTTGTTTTACTGAGACCTAAAGCCTGATAAGTTTATTCCTAAGATCTGAGACCCCACAATAAACCTACTAAAAATGTCAACCTAGTTATCTTGTCTTTCTTAAAAGTTATTCAATTTAAATCCTGTTTCATAGCTAAAGCTCTCACTGATATAATAGGCCTGCCTATACCTCTGCTCCTAATGTAAATAATCAAGGTTCACAGCAGTATGAAAACTCCTTGGAATGCTCTCTTTAAATATAACTCTTAAAGAGAAATTGGCGTCATACAGCACGACTTTTAGAAGCCAAACCTTTTAATGGGCCCTGATGAAGAACAGTTAACGTCATGATGTATTGAGTGAGCACTCACTTAATCTATTACACAAACAAACAAGTAATATACATGATGGCAAAATGTTACGTAGCTTTTGGGAGGAAAAGTGTATCTGTCTAACCATTCTCCTTGTAAAAGGTCCAACGTATGACCTTGCAAATCACTGTAGGGTGCACTCAAGCAGCAGAAGCTCTATCCTAAAAGAGTAAATGTATAATTAAGATGGACGAAGTCACCGTCTTCAAGGTCAGCATGTGGCCAATATCATCTTAGGTGAATTTTGAATGCATTATAGCTCATTAAGGTAAGTCAATTAAGAATCTAGCTCCTTTTTTTGCTGCTTTACAAGGACAAAATAATTATCTTTTTTTTTACCCGGCTGTAAACATGTTTATTTTTACTGTAAGGTAGGCCATTAAAGAAAGAAAAAATCGTGTAATTAGTTCAGCTTAGTGTGATGTTTCTCCCCTGGGAGATTATCTCTCCTCACTACTGTGAGGATATTTTACTTCGATTCCGTTTGTTTCTGATTCAGCGAGACAGGAGCAGAAGACGTCGCTTTGGAAGACAAGCTCTAGACTTACAGGAGGAGAGTTTTAACGCCACTATGTCTTCACATCATCGTCTGCAGCTTCACAAGAAAGAACATCAGAAGACAGATGTTGGAAAACGTCTCTGGGTAACACGTCTGATTTCGCCCACATAGCATTCTGTCCGCCTGACTTTTTGCTAATATCACCATATAACGCCGGACATACGCCAGGAATTCAGTCACAGTCTAACATGAGGTGCACCATTTTTTAGAAGATGTGTGACACCACAGGAAACCTGGCGCTGGTTAGCATATTCACTCGCATCTTGAAGGATAATGAGCTGGACACTTGATGCTTACTTCCATGCTGCAGAGAAAATATGGAGAGAATGCAGGAGACAGCAATAAACGATGACAGATTACAGATCCTGGACAGCAGCGGTAAAAACCAGTCTAATCAGGTTTGGGTTTCCTGGATGGGGAGCAGGACTTGGGCTCACTCACGTAAATTAATAATGTGTGACGGTTGGGGAGTCAGAACACGGGTTCTGATACAGCAGGTGAGGAAGAGGAGCATGAGGATGAGGTCGACCGGTTGATGAGAAAATGTCTTATGTTACAAAAATGTGTGCAAATACACGAAAAAAAAAAACAAACACCCAAAATGCATGGTAGAATCCTACAGCGAGTGTACGTCTGGAGCTGGGTTTGGGGGCTGGACTTCACACGGTGTGCATCTAAATGTGTGCACCTCCCTCCCACAGAGCTACACACACTCCTTGCAGCCACATTCCACAGGCTTTTCTACATCCTGCGTAACTGAGGTTCCGTCGTCACATTCGAAGGTAAGACGCCGCCGCCGGACCCTCAGAGGGGCGCAGCAGGAGGCGGCGGTCTCGGCTCGGCAGTGACCCTGACACTCCACCCAGGAGAAAGGTTTTGATGTCTGGCAGAGAACGGAGCCTCGCTGCAGCCGGTGGTAGTCTCTGACTGGCTCACCTCTGCATGGGGTCTCTGCAGGTGAGAGAACGCCATTACGGTTAAGATCAGGTCCAAACGGGCTTCAAAGCACAGCAAATCTCGTACTTGAATTGAGAAACACCAAATCATGCTAATAGAGTGGCCACTCCAACTTCAAACAGTGACTAAATGTTTGGAATGTTTTTCATAAAAGCACAATCATACGGAAGAGGATTAGGGCCACTGGAAAAAAAAAAAAAAGTTAACTGATTTTTAAATTTTATTTCAGTTTAACATGGGAAAAAAGTTAGAATTCAGACTTTTTTCTCAGAATTCTGACAATAAAAAAGTCAGAAAATACTGGAAGAAAAGTGTCTGCAGTAGACTAAAGCTCAAAAGGATGAGATCAGCTAAATGGATCCATGATTGGTTGTAAGTTGATGAAATAATTAGAGGTGATGAAGACGAGGAGGACCAAAAGAAGAAAGAGCTCCAGTTTCTAACTGAGGCTGTTTACGTTTAGCATCAGGATAAAAAAAAATCTCAGATATATTAAAATCATGTGTTACAACAACTGAACAATACTTCAATGTCACTTTAAACAGTCCTTCATTATCATATGATTGAAAAGATTTCAACCTTTATGGGTGAAAAATACATTAAAGGAATAGTACACCCAAAACATGATTAGCCTTCATTTTCTACTCACCCCCATGCTGAACAACACTCTGGAGTACTTTTTTGATATCTCAAATGCATCTGGAGATCTGGGAGGCTTCTTGCTGTCTGCTGACATTCAAATAATGGAGGTCTATGGCGCCCGAGACAGAAAGGTCCATAAAAGTCCACAAAAAAACGTGTCAATATTCCTCCATACTGCTCGTCCAATGTATTCCAAGTGTCCTGAGTGGGTAGCGTCCAGAATTTACTCGAAACCAAGTCATTTAGAATGTTTTTAGATCATAAACAGTAGTGTATAGGATTTCCTAAAAGCGCGCGCCTACGAGTTCACAACTCTGCGGAAACCGCGGCAGACCAAACCAGATGAAAGTGCGCATTCAGCTCGGCAAAGAACTCATGCTCTTCCTCAACACTGAAGTCATCAGACATGTTTCTTTCGTTGTTTCTTTCTTTGCACAGGTAAACAGTGCATTTCTTCTTCTACGCTTGCATTATCGGCAGAGCAGACGCTGAATGCGCACTTTCATCTGGTTTGGTCTGCCGCAGTTTCCGCAGAGTCGTCCAGATGCATTTGAGATATCAAAAAAGTACTCCAGAGTGTTGTTCAGCATGGGGGTGAGTAGAAAATGAAGGCTAATCATGTTTTGGGTGTACTATTCCTTAAAATAATATATAACTTTAAATAATTATGAGTTCTTACATATTAAACACAGCAATTCTTAATTTAATATGAAAATTATAACATTTAGAGCACCATTCAGTGATTTTTGGATCCCTATAACTTCCAGGCAGATACAGAGGAAAGTTTAGGGTCCAGCATAGAAATCTGTCAAAATTTCTAATGATATTTTGATAATAAGAATCAGCAATTGTATTATCTGAATGAGTCAGGATGGTTCAAAACCAACTAGAAACAGTAATCCAGAGTACCGCCTTGCATGTAATTCATAATTTACCGTCACTTGTATTGCAGCTTTCTCCAGAGTATCCCTGATCGCAGATGCAGCGCTCTTCATCTCCTGTCTTCTGACACTGACCGTGTAGACACTGCAGCCTCTGACACGAACCTGCTGGCTCCTCCTGGAGGTTACACAGCGCTCCTCTGTATCCTTTCTCACATTCACAGCGATAGGTTTGAGCATCCAACACCATGCATTCACCCTTCACACACCTGGAGGTGGACAAAGATAAGAGCATCAGCCCATTTAACTATCTTGAAATGGGTTTTATTTGTTGATTGAGTATAATGGCATCTGAAAAAAAAGAAAAATGAATTTAAAAAAATGTTATACTCACTTGTTGCCCTCACATGGGTTGATGCCGTTTGCCATGGTGACGACATCCACCCCGCTAAGGCCCACAGTGATTGGCTGGTCGCAGTGCTGTCCCGTCCACCCCGCCTGGCACTGACACTGGGGGCCCTGGAAAGTAAACATAATATTTTAGTTCAATCTAGCATGTGGTTCGGAATAATGTTATTGTTCATGAGGAACTCTGGTTCTGTAGTGTGTTGCTACCTGAGCACTGTTGGGTTGGCATATGCCATGCAGGCAGTAAAGTTCTCGGCAGGGTTGGCAGCCTGGTACCACGCCTGGCTTCATTTGGCTGCGGGTGAAATCCTGCAGCTCGTGGTTTATGTAGAGGTTCCTGATGCAGCCCTGGAAGCTGGACGTGTTGAGGGTCTGATAGGAGAGTCCTCGTGAAGTCGGAATAACCTCCATAGGCATACCTGGGCAGACATACCAAAGTGGCTCTACTTGTGGATCTGTAATGAATTTAGCCGAGTTGTTCATGTCTGAGGTCCGTCCATCACTCCTACCTCCCACATACAGAGGGGTCTCTCCTGTCACTGGCAGGCCGCGGCCATGGCTGTCCAGAGTCGTTGGCTCTCCTCCATCCACAGATAAGTTCACCATCTGATTAAAGGTCACCAGCTCAACCGTGTGGAAAAGCCCATCGTTCACCGTCTCAGCACTGCACACAGGAGGAAGCATTTATCTGTTTATGTACAATAATGCAATCATACAAATGATAAAGGTGCGCTTCGTTAACAAGAAGATATCGGACCCTTTTTTATGGCTTTTGCGGTTGATGTTGTTGCTCTTTAAATGTCAAAACCTCAGTAAAATTGACAGTTTAAAGCTCAGATGCTTTTTGGTACACTGAAAAAAAAGATACTTTGGATGAACTTAAAAAAATTACTGTAATTTGTTACACCTAAATTTATTACTTTATCTCAAATTAACTTTCTGATGTGGTTGAAACTATACATTTTGATTTACTAGAAATAGATTTTTTACCTTAAACCAAAGAAAGAAATTGCATTCATACCAAGTAAAACTTTAATTTGTGACAAAGACTATAAACAAGTTTTATACTTCGTTAAAACTTAATTTTTAAATTTGGAAAAAACTAATTTTTTACATTACAAATAAGTATAGATTCACTTTGGAATAAACTAATTGAAATGCTGTAATTTTGTTACATGAATTTATTTTAAGTTTTTTCAACTTAAATTTCTGAATCAACACAAAGTCAATTTTCTGTTGTACCTTACTCAAAACATTATATAGTCCCAAGCTAAAGTGTTAATTTAGGTCAATGAGATTTTTTTTTTTTGCCTTTTATAAGTGAAAATGTCACGACATTACAGGCCAAATTCCCAACAATATAAAACTAAAATTCACTGAAATGATTCACTGCAGATACAAATTAAAAACAGAAAAGTCTCTTTTAAATGCCCTTTATTTTTGATGAGTCTGAAAATACCATCTTTCAAAAGGCCAGTGCATATTTTACACAAAGATTAGGGAAAGGAAATTACATGTAAAATTAAACTAAATGTGGGTTTTTCCTATTTTCAGACCTAATGAAACTGCAAAAACATAAACCTACACATCAACATGAAAAAATACTTTCTTCACCTCTTTAAAACTTCAGAGATCCAAAGTGAGAGTATTAAAACAGGATAAACATTGCTGTCATTGCTAACATTTGAAATACCCATTAAGAGTATGAAAATGAACTTTGAACCATTACAAAATTAGGAGACCCCAAAAAATTAAGAAAAAAAGGGGCTGTGCGTTAAAATATCAATAAACGCAGTTAAAGAAAGAAAAAAAAAACAGCTAGTGCTGATGTGACTTACTGAATTTAGTATTCACATTTCAAAGGTGATATACAGGTGCTGGTCATAAAATTAGAATATCATGAAAAAATAGATTGATTTCAGTAATTCCATTTAAAAAGTGAAACTTGTATATTATATTCATACATTACATACAAACTCATATATTTCAGATGTTTATTTTGTTTAATTTTGATGATTACAAATGACAACAAATGAAAATCTCAAATTCATCATATCAGAAAATTAGAATATTACTGAAGACCAATAAAAACAAAGGATTTATAGAAATGTTGGCCAACTGAAAAGTATGAACATGAAAAGTATGAGCATGTACAGCACTCAGTATTTAGTTGGGCCTCCTTTGGCCTGTATTACTGCAGCAATGCGGCGTGGCATGGAGTCGATCAGTCTGTGGCACTGCTCAGGTGTTATGATAGCCCAGGTTGCTCTAATAGTGGCTTTTAGCTCTTCTGAATTGTTGGGTCTGGTGTATTGCAACTTCTTCTTCACAATACCCCATAGATTTTCTATGGGGTTAAGGTCAGGAGAGTTTGCTGGCCAATTAAGAACAGGGATACCATGGTCCTTCAACCAGGTACTGGTAGCTTTGGCACTGTGTGCAGGTGCCAAGTCCTGTTGGAAAATGAAATCTGCATCTCCAAAAAGTTGGTCAGCTGCAGGAAGCATGAAGTGCTCTAAAACTTCCTGGTATGTGGCTGCGTTGACCCTGGACCTCAGAAAACACAATGGACCAACACCAGCAGATGACATGGCACCCCAAACCATCACTGACTGTGGAAACTTTACACTGGACTTCAAGCAACGTGGATGAAGTGCCTCTCTTCTTTTCCTCCAGACTCTGGGACCTTGATTTCCAAAGGAAATGCAAAATTTACTTTCATCAGAGAACATGACTTTGGACCACTCACCAGCAGTCCAGTCCTGTTTCTCTTTAGACGCTTCTGACGCTGTCTGTGGTTCAAGAGTGGCTTGACACAAGGAATGCGACAGCAGAAACCCATGTCTTTCATACGTCTGTGTGTGGTGGTTCTTGAAGCACTCACTCCAGCTGCAGTCCACTCTTTGTGAATCTCCCCCACATTTTTGAATGGGTTTTGTTTCACAATCCTCTCCAGGGTGCGGTTATCTCTCTTGCTTGTACACTTTTTTCGACCACATCTTTTCCTTCCCTTCGCCTCTCTATTAATGTGCTTGGACACTGAGCTCTGTGAACAGCCAGCCTCTTTAGCGATGACCTTTTGTGTCTTGCCCTCCTTGTGCAAGGTGTCGATGGTCGTCTTTTGGACAACTGTCAAGTCAGCAGTCTTCCCCATGATTGTGTAGCCTATAGAACTAGACTGAAAGACCATTTAAAGGCTTTTGCAGGTGGTTTGAGTTAATTAGCTGATTAGAGTGTGGCACCAGGGGCCATCAATTTTGAACCTTTTCACAATATTCTAATTTTCTGATATAATGAATTTGAGATTTTCATTTGTTGTCATTTGTAATCATCAAAATTAAACAAAATAAACATCTGAAATATATGAGTTTGTATGTAATGTATGAATATAATATACAAGTTTCACTTTTTAAATGGAATTACTGAAATCAATCTACTTTTTCATGATATTCTAATTTTATGACCAGCACCTGTACATGCCACGATATTTCTACAACAGAAATAAATACAATAATACAAAAAATAAAAATCACAAATTAAATATTTTGAATTAAATCAAAATTTTCCCTTAGATTAACCTGCAATGGCTTTGAATACAAGCAACAAAACTGCACATGCATCCAACCGTCTTTCTTTGACCAACCCCATATTTAGAGCTTGACACTCAGACTGCACACTCTGCGTGTCATTCTCTTTGGTTCAATCTCCATGAAGACTTTCTGCAGCGCATCAAAAGTGTGTCTGAGCTCACCTGGATAGCTTAAGTTCATAGCATAGATAAGTCCAAATAAGAGAGCACATCCATGTGCGATTGATGGCAGCTCATTAAGCACCTCCACACCTTCAATAATGATGCCTATGTCACATGGTGGTTTTAACGGATCCTCTTCCTCCCTGATGACAAACACGGCCATTGTGCACTGCTGAAGCTCTCTTTCTGCGTCATCCTTTTCAACAACCTGACAAAACACAAGACATTTATTGTACTCCTGAATGTCTAATAAATCAAGAAAAGCACAATCTATGTTACACTTTTAAAACTGTGTTGTGTCACATCTCATTAAAATCCCGATCGAAGTAGCAACAGTTATGTTATAAAACCAACAGGTTTGTAAACTCCTCATCTCCACCCCATGTCCGACAGTTTTTCTTTCTGTACGCAACCCCTCCCCCTCAAAAATCCCGACTAAGCAGAGCAAAGTACTGGGTTGCTCAAAAGACCAAAACCCAGTGAAAGTTAAGCCCCAGATAAATGTGTATGCAAAGGTAACCTGTTATTTACAAAGCCTGGGGCTTCACAAAAGCTGTTAACAGCAGTAGCATGTGCGCCCTGAAAAAGCAACATTTGCACAAACCGCGAGGACTACTCAGTTTTCGGTGGGAAACCCTTTAGACCATGGGTTAAAGAAAAACTAATCAGTTTGAATGAAAAATTTTTCAAGTCAGCCCATATATTTCCAAGGCCTTGGACGTTATGCCACATTAGTTACTTCATTTGCTTATTGTGCAAAGTCAACTTTAACCAAGTCTGTTACTTTTAAAATATTCATTGACAATTACTGTTATCTCTCCCACCATTCAGCTTCAGAGCCTTGGTATCATCCTGGACAGACATCTCCATCCTCCCGTCGCTATGACGGAGAACTTTAACCCCTGCTGTAGACATTTTAAATGGGAGCAACAATTGTATATAAATTTATCATAAATTAACCCTAGCAGTTTATTGGGAACTGAGCTCATGTAAATGAACTTTTCTGAAGTTTAAGTGATTAACAGCAAAATATCTTACCAGAAACTCCTTGATCAGTTTTTGTACATCTTCTCCAAGGTACAAGATGAGGCACTTCAGCAGACACTCTCTCTTAAGGCTCACATCCAGGCTCTAGGTGAGAGTGCAAAACACAAACCATGCAACTTCACTGAAGATACAAACATATACATGTCTAAATGAGAACTTAAATCTGGAGTAATTGCTGCAAAAGAAATTTTTAGGCCAAACCGGTGAACAGCCTGTCAAACTCAGATGATAAACATTCTACTTCTTCCAAAACCATTTAACTTCACAATCAAGTATGCTGATAATTGATAATGACATGATTATTGCTTTTATTTACAATTTTACTATTTCTCTGATACGCTATTTTTGCAACGCTAAGCAAATACATACCTGATCAAGAACCTTCAATACATCGCGTGTCTTCTCTCTGATAGCTCCTCCCTTCTTCCTGATGATCTCCATCAGCTTACCGTGGTGCTTGTCCAAAGAGGCCAGGAATCGTGGTTGAAGTGGAACAGTAGTAATCCTCATAAATTCAGCATTGATCTGCATAAAAAACAATATCACAAGCAAATGTTATTATATCTAACATCAAAACTGTGTGGTGTGTGTCATCTTTCTATGACAAGACCTAAACATGCATTCTGAATGGCTTTGGCTCAGTTGATATTTGATTTATAGGCCACTCCTGAACTACTGCTATTACTGGAAAAAATACTTACTTCCTCCACTGAGAACAATGCAGGCCATCTTTCTATCACCTCTTCGACTCCTTGTTCCTTTGTCACAATTTCCTGTCTTCGCAGTGAAAAAGTCTTGTCCATTTTATTCTTGATCACTGCACGATTGTTTCGCTTCTTTACTTCGCTCAGAAGTGCCACTCTCTC